TCCGAGCCTGCTGACTTGTACCCATCCAGCTCCTCCAGGAGTTCCTTAACTATTTCAGAACTAACCGTAGGTGGACTGGTGCCATGTGGACATCCGTCAATGTTCGAGGTAGAATTGGCTTGATCAGTACTTAGAAATACTGAAACGAAGAACTTCTTGAAGAGCTCTGCTTTTTTTCCCATGTCAACCACCAACTGTCCTGATTTGTCTGCAGGGGCCCTATGCTTCTCTGAGCTTTCCTTTTGCCTGCTGTATACCTGAAGATGGACTTTTTATTGTCCTTGATTGTTGAAGCCAGCCTGAGCTCAAGCACCACCTTGGCCTGTCTAACTGATTCCCTGCAATAGCGCGCCAGGGAGAGAGATTCCTCTTTGGTGGCTGCTCCCTGCTTCCATTGCCTATACATCCCTTTCTTTGCCCCCAGACTCTCCTGGAGTTCCCTGTTCAGCCAAGGGGGCTTTTTGCCCCCTTACCTCCCTCCCTATGTAATGGGATAGACTCCTTTTGAGCCCCAAGGATCACTCCCTTGAGATACCTCCAACCCTCCTGGACCCCCATTTGCTCTATGTTCTTGAGTTGCATCCCCTCACTAACTAGCCTTCTAAGCTTGCTAAAGTTGGCTCTTCTGAAGTCCAACACCTTAGCCCCACTAGTTACTTTACCCACCCTTCGCTGGATAGTGAACTCGACCAAGTGATGGTCACTATCTCCCAGGCTACCATGAACTCACATGTTCCCCACGAGATCATCCCCTGTTGCTAAGACCAGGTCAAGCAAGGCGCTACCCCTGGTGCGACTAGACACCACCTGGGTTATGTGGAGGTCCTGCACACAGTGTAAGAACCTCCATGAGCGGCTTGTTTTGGCTGTCTGCTCCTCCCAGCAGATATCTGGGTAGTTTAGATCTCCCATGACCACCGCCTCCCTCACCTGTGTGGCATCTGCTAACTGCTAGCTGCCCGGTAAGCTTTTAAATGTAGGTTGGACAGATGCTTGGAATGGTTTAGATCAGGGTTGGGCAATTATTTCGGGCAGAGGGCTGCTTACCCAGTTTTGGCAGGCTGTCAAGGACTGCATGGATAGCCCCACCCCTTGACAGGTGCCCTGCTCCCTGGTCACCATCTTGGGACCAATGTCTTCGGACCAATGTCACAGGGCCAGCACCGGTGGGGCCCAAAACGGGGCACAGGCTGGCAGAGGTCTGTGGAGCCACCTGGAGCTTGTGCACTGGGCAGCACAGAGATGGCGGTGGCAAACACTGCTCAGCATGTCAAGTGGGAGGGCCGCAGCTGCCGCCCATGCACAGCCCCAGTGGGCGAACCCGGAGCCGCACAGGGCCCAGGCTGTCTGCGGGGCTAGGTTACAAGGTGGTGCTGAGCGCGGGGCGGAAAAGCGGCCCCTCCTTGGTCTGTGGCCAGCATCCCACACTGCAGCCACTTGCAGCCCGTGTGAAGCTGCCTGTGCCTGCTCCAGACAGCCCTGTGTGGCCTGTGAGCAGCTGCAGCAGGGAGCGGTGGCCATGAGGCAGGAAGGGGTCACTTTTTCCTGTGCTGGGAAGGAGTAGGGAAGGCACAGGGGGAAAAGCTGAGTGGGGGGGGGGGGGGGGGG